CTCTCTCTCTCCCTCCCTCTCCCTCTCCCTCTCTCTCCCTCTCCCTCTCTTCCTCTCCCTCCCCCCCACCTCCCTCCCTTCCACTCTCTAAAAATCAATGGAAAAAATATCCTCGGGTGAGGATTAACAAAAAAAATAAATGAAAGATATTCTATATGCTTCACTTGGCAGGTTGCTTTTTTTACTTAACAATGCCATACTGTTATTTTTTAAAGTAACATTACAAAAACAGTACATGTGCTTTGTAAAAAATTGAAAAATACAGATAAGCAAAAATGAAAAATAGAAACTTGCATTCCCACCAGTCAGAGATCACCTTTGTAATATCTTAGTACATAGCCTTCCAGATATTTTTCTCTGCATTTACACACTTTTTTTTCCAAAAATGAGTTTATACTGTGCATACTTTTGTTATCTGCTTTTTCAGTCATCTCCTTTTTACCATTCAGTAAGTTTTATCTTGTAGTCTAACTAAATTATATTTAAAATTTCCTAGTTGACTAAAAGTATCCTTTACAGCTAATTTGTTCAAACCAGTATCCAATCTAGGATTACGTCTGGTCGCTATTGCCCTTAAGTCTGTTACAGTCTAGAGCAGCCCCTATTATTAATGACATGACTTTTTTCTGCATTATGTTTCCCTTTTTGGGTTTGACAGATTTCTTCATAGTATCATTATTTTGTCCTCTATATTTTTTGTAAACTAGATTTTTGACTTGAATAGAAGGTGATGCTGTCTTATGTCACATTAGGAAATCTACAATATCTGGTTCTCCTATCATTAGTGAAGCTGGATTGACCTCGATTAGGGAGATAGCAGTCTGGTCCTTATTTGTACAGTTAAGTTTCTTTTCCCCTTGTGACTAGAATGTAATGTAAATGATGTGACTTCGGCATTATATGAATGACCAGTTTCACATCACTCTAATAGTAATTAATCTCAGTTAATCTCAATTGAGAGTAATTACTCTCAATCTGGTAATAATTTTTTAAAATTGAAGTCAGTTGGCATATAACATTAATTTTAGGTATACAACATAATGATTCGATAGTGAAATGATCACCACAATAATTCTTGTTGACATCCATCACCACACATGGTTCCAAAAATTTTTTTTTCTTGTGCTGGGAACTTTTAAGATGTAATCTTCACAACTTTCAAATATACAGTACAGTATTATTGACTGTATTCACCATGCTGTACATTACATCCCCATTACATTTATTTTTTAGTGGGAAGTTTGTACCTTTGGGCCCCCTCTGAGCTTATAATAATTTTATTAGAGTTAATGAAATAATACTTTTCTAATTTTCTCCTACACTTATTAATTGGCACTCTGCTAAAGGAGAGCTTTTTTCCCTCATTAGCTGAGGCTATTGGGTGACTCTGGAATACATTTCCTACTGGGAAAGCAGGATATGTAATTAGATCTTTCTTTTTTTTGTCCTCACCTAAGGATATTTTTTCTATTGCTTTTCTGAGAGAGTGGAAAGGAGGGAGGGAGGAAAAGAGAGAGAGAGAGAGAAACACATCAGTGTGAGAGAGACCCATCGATGGTTGCCTCTTGCAAGTGCCCCAACCGGGGCCAGGGAGTGAGTCTGCAACCAAGGTACGTGCCCTTGACTGGAATGGAACCTGGGACTTTCAGTCTGGGGGCCAATGTTCTAACCACTGAGCCAAACTGGCTAGGACATAGATCTTTCTTTTTTTTATTACCAATTTTCAAAATATGTTTCTTGTTTTTTTTTAGTGTCATTGTGGATTTAATGTGTTTCAATCCACTACAATCATTTTTTTTAATGCTTACATTCTCTCAACTTTATCCAAGCTTACTTCTGTGTCTGACCCAATCTTGTTAATTGTTGGTAGCACCCTTGCTGCCTAGCATTTCAAGATGCCCTTATACGATTTCTTTAGAAAAGAATCTTTCATTAAAAACACAAATACAACATGCTCTCTAGGAAGCATAAATACAGAAGACATTGAGGGAAATTCATTATATCTTCACCAAACAAATTATATTACCCTTGCCGTCTTTTCCTAGCTGTATCCACCCATCCTAAGAAAATAAGCCAGTTCCTGAAATTCTGAGTCCTTGCTCCTTTCTCTACTCTTAGACACATAGAAACCATTAGAGTTTTAAGAATTAGAGTATATGTGCTTTTTGATTTTTCTTTAGACCTAGTCTGATTCATTTCAGCCCAGACCACATGTACTGATTTAAAGAGTTGATTTTATTGGATTCAGTCTAGTCAACTATGTAGCTCTATTTTGCATCCTCAGCCAAAAAAAAAGAAAAAGGAAAAAGAAAATTCATTATGTTGATAACAGGTACCTCAGACTTGTTTGGTAATGATAGATGAGAAAGAACACAGAGAAAAAAATTTTAAATTACTTACCTATCCTTAGAGATAAAACTGAGTTTGAGTTTACAAAAATATTTCCTGCCAATTTTTCCCATTATTTGGGGTGCAAATAATGTAAAGAAACAAAAACAAAATACCCTTCAGAGGAGGTAAACAGTAAGGCCAGAGGAGAGTTCACAGAGAGTGGTGCAGCCTAATAAAAAGCCTCTGGTTGTTTCTGATGAAGGATGGGAGCCCTCTGTTGGTGTTTTAGGAAATGTTAAAATTCAGTTTGAAAGCTTAGTTGAGAGGCTTCAGTTTTATCCATCTCTGTATATTTAACCTTAAAATAATTCCCTCCAAAAGGCTTGGGGTAGGGGGCTGTGGGGAGTAAAAAGGAAGTATATTGTGTTAGCATACTAGATATGTTAGCATACCTAGAATTCAGGTTTTCTGAAGAGGTCTAATATGATATGCTTTCTGTCATACCACACAGGTCTGTAGGTCCTGACTAAAGGAACTTATAGATTGTGAAGCTGAGACATATAATTTTAGGTGTTTGATAATTATAGTTATATAGTTTGGCAGTCTAAGACCTCTTAAGTGGCAGAACCTGATGCAGCAATCCATGTATCATTTCTTGTGTATTTCCCTTAAGTGGTACATCTGTTGTTCTACCTGTTAATTTTTTGTTTTTGTTATTTCTTGAAAGTGAAATAATCACTGGTTAGATTTTCTTACCGTACTGTTCTTATCTTTTCTTACAAACTTTTTTTTTAGTGGATTATCAAACAGTTTTACGGGAAAGTCAAATCACCACTGCCATGTGTCTGCATATGAAAAATCTTTTCCTATTAAATCTGTTCCAAGTCCATCTTGGAGTGGTTCATGTCGTCGAAACCTTTTGAGCCCTAAGAAAACTCAGAGGCGACATGTTAGTACAGCAGAAGAGGTAAGAAAAACCTGTAATAAAAGCTGTGGTTAGAATCTTTCCCTATATTCAGCTATTTGTGCCCTCCAGTCATGTTTATTAACCATTCCATTTATTTAATCTTTTCTATGGTTTTTCTTTCTTACTCTTTTTGAGTGTTGTTATCTGTTCTAAAGAAATTAGATATTTTAGTTTAGAACTTTATTATTTTTCTTACCATCTCTATTTCTGTTGGACAGTAGACTTAATTTTCATTATTATTTGAATAACTTCTCATACATCAAACTATCTCTTCTCTCTTTTTTGGACCCCTTCTAAACTTGTTTCATTTGGCAAAACTGTTAACCTGGCTGGATTTGATAAAATACCCACCCTTAACTTCTTACTAGGACAGTTTTTCCTCAGTATAAAAGAAAACTCAAGAAGCCAGCTAAATAATTTATATCCTTTCAGTATGAATAAGATCTTTGAGATCATAGATTTTTCCCCCAAAGAAAGATGTTCTCTTGACATTTGGGTGCTTATATTTATTCAGTAAACCTGAAGGAAAAAATAGATTATGTAAATGTAATATAGCATATAATTTATACAATAAGAAATGTGCAGCATGGCTGGTGTGGCTCAGAGGTTGAGCATGGACCTATGATCTGTAAGATCGCAGTTCAGTTCCCAGTCAGGGCACATGCCCAGGTTGCGGGCTCAGTCTCCAGCAGGGGGCGTGCAAGAGGCAGCTGATCAATGGCTCTCTCATCATTGATGTTTCTCTCTCTCCCCCCCTCTCTTCCTCTCTCTGAAATCAATAAAGACATATTTTAAAAAGTTTTTTTTGTAAAGAAATGCAAATGTGCTTATACCTGTTCAATTAAATATTTATCATGCATCTCATCAGCTTTGTACCGATTGCTTTGGAGATGCAAATGAGTAATAATGACCTTACATTTATATAGCATTAAGAGTTACCAGTGTGCTTTCCACACGTATTGTTTTGAAATTTTTTATCTCTGTGATACAGGTAGAAGTGAGGTAATACCCACATTTTACAGATTTGGAAAGTAAAGGTCAGAGGTCATACAACTAGTAATTGGCCAGCCTGCAACCCAGGTCTTCTGAAGGAGTCTAGTCTGGTGTGCTTTCTGTTATATAACCTGTTGATGTGGTTCCTGCCCATCGAAGCTTACAGATGGAGAGTCAAGAATAATTATATAATTTGGCAATGAAGACCTCTTAGGTGGCAAGACTTGATTATTTGTGACTTAGTAACAAAAATGCTATGCATTTTTTTGGTGTGAAGTTCGTATGGAATCTAAAATATTCAAACGCCCGGCCAGCCGCAGCTCAGTGGTCGAGCATCTACCTAGGATCCAGAAGATCACGGTTCAGTTCCCATTCAGGGCACATGCTCGGGTTGCGGGCTGGATCCCCAGTTGGGGGCATTCAGGAGGCAGCTGATCAGGGACGACTCCCGTCATTGATGCTTCTATCTCTCTCTTTCTGTCTCTGAAATCAATAAAGATAATATTTAAAAAAAAAAATTCAAGCAGAGGATGGCAGAACTAGTAAATCGTAGTAGGAAAAAGGATAGACAAGAAACTGGCAAAAGTTGGTGATAAGAACTGAGCAACAGTTACGAAAAGGACTTATTTTTCACTGTACCTTTTGTACTGCTGAATTTAGTACCATGTATCAGATACTGCATACGTACTTTTTAAAAAAATTACTGGAGTTGGAGTTATGCTTCTGCTGGAGCCTTGGCAGCCTACAGGGTAAGAGAGGCTTGTTGGGGAAGGAGACAGCAATAGCATGGCAGCTGGATACAGGCCTTCCAATACTCCCCTGCTGTATTGCTGCCCCTGGGATCACCAGGATCCTTTAGACTGTCTGTGTTCATTGTAGGCCCACCATTTGCTCACAAGTCAACCAGTCCTTTGGACCACTCAGCCCCTTCTCCTTTTGCTTCCACTTCTAGCCTGAGGACTTGTGCTAGCTGGGCCACAGGTTGGGACAATGGAGGACATGAAGCTAAGGTTCCTCTTCCTTCTGTAGTGTCAAGAAAATGTCAAGGATTGAACCTATCCTATGAAACAAAAGATAAAGGAAATTTTGCCTCACTTGTTTTTATGTCTATATTCTGCTATGAAAAGCTGTAGTACATGGAGTAACCCATATAATATGAATAAGACAAAATATTGGATCAGACTTTATTAAATCAGACTTTCAACAGATTATTTGCATATTGAAACAGCACAGTGCAAGATGCTGCTAGCCCTGGCACAAAGTATTATAATTATTTTGTGAAGAATGGTGGTTGTATTAAACTGTATATAAGATTTAAAAGGGAAAAAAGTACTGGGCATATTATTTAGTGAATGCAGCTTATTGCTTTAGGGGATCTGTATAGAGTAGATGCTTTACCATGGTTACAAGTCATTATGTAATCTGTTTTCCTGCTAAGTGACCTAATTTCTTACTACTATTCTGATTCACAATGACCTTACTATTCCTTAAACACATCAAAGAACAAGCCTGGGTCAGGGCTTTTGAATTTGCTGTTTCTTTGTCTGGAATATTGTTATAAATTTCTTTGACTTACTTCCTCCCTTGATTTAGGTTTCTGTTGAAATGCCACCATTTAAGAGAGGTCTTACCTGTTCCCATTGTTGGCCCTCCATCACTTTCTATTATTCTCTTATCTTTAATTTTGTTTATACTACCTAACTAGTTTTTTGTTTTTCTTTCTTCCTTTCCTTCCTTTCCTTCCCTTCCCTTCCCCCTTCCCTTCCCTCTTCCCTTCCCCCTTCCCTTCCTCCTTTCTTTCTTCCCTTTCCTCCTTCCCC